AAACACTCACACGGCCTTGCATTGGCTCCAATGGCTCGTAGCATCCGCTCCTGTCGGTAGTGAAGTGAAACGGAGTATAGGGTGAAGATATTAATTTATTTTCTTAGAAGTTTAAAAAAAACTTGCATGTTTTTTTTGTTTTTTTATCTAACTTTTTTTTTCTTTCTCCCCCCCCCCCTTTTTTTTTCCGTTCCTCGAAAGAATATGCTGCGTGCGCTACTCCTTATGTGTCTTGTACCGTTTCTTTGGAAAGGACGTGTTGGTGATGGCTCTAAAATGATTTTCCTTCAAACTGAGATTTTATATTAATTTGTCACCCTGGCGATTAAAGGTATAAGCTGCAGTTCAATGAATTAAAAGAAGAACAAAAATATTATCAAACTGTTATTGATTTCCATTTTCAACCTTCTGTTGTGTTGCCTTGAGTTCTAGAAATACCTTAGCGAAAAACACCATATCAAAAATTTACTTAGTATATACTTAGTGCACTATAAACAAGTGATAGAAATTAGAATGTCCCAAAAGTGCAATATTAATATACGACTCTTCTTAATAGGAATATATCCTGGAAGTATGTTTGACGCATATTCGCTATTAGTGTATATTCATTGCAATCAAAATAAGAGTACAACCTTTTAGGGCATTTAAAACACGTTGTTAGTAGTATTTCAGAATGCATATATTGGCCACATTAAAGATAACGGGGAAGTGCCTCAAAAGAATATTTCAAGCGTGCGGAGCCTCTATCTCTACTTATAGTGCACTCGGTGCTCCAACGGATGCACGAAGGCAACTTTGGGTGCAAAAGTGTCGTTCGAGGTTCGACAGAGAAGGGTCTCCAAACTCCGGCCCGCTGAGGCTTTCCAACAGGCCCGCGGCTGGCCGCGGTCCTTCCAGTGACGCCCCGCCCGCAGCTCGCTCCAAGCATGCCCACTGCTACCCGGGGAAATACAAAATACAATACAAAAAAAAAAACAAATCTGACGCCGTTACGCGCACAAACTGATAGCAGCAAAAGTAGAACTTTTCTTTTCGTGCTTTGGATTCTTTTTTTTTTATATTCCGCCCCTCGAGACTGTGACCGAAGCCCAGACCGGCCCCTTAGCCAAAACGTTTGGAGAACCCTGGACTAACGTGTAGCTCCAGTGTAGCTCCGATGGCCCGGTCGGCTCCTCGTCATCGGCATGCAGTACACCCTCCGAGGCTCTGGCGGCCTATTCCGTCCTATATTTTGCGTTACAAGTTGTTTATGGTGCATCTAATGTGACATTGATAGTTCAAGACACTTTCACATCTAAATCGCGGGCACAGGCGTTCGGCCGGTTACCCAAGCACAATGGTGAGCGGCAAACGGGCGCGGACAGGAACGGTGCATGGAGGCGAACGCTGACGTCAAGATCCTAAGCAGCCTGTCTCGTTGTGGTAAAGGGCGGCGGGCGGCTCCTGGCGACGTCAGCGCTGTATTTCAAAATGAGTTGGGTGTGATGTTTCTAATGAGCGAGTTGATAAAGTTTACTAGGTAACAAAAATAATAAAACATGAATAGGAGTAGACAAAGACGGGTACATTCTTTCAACTCACAACAAAGCAAATTCCTTGGAATCCGATCGTCCGTTCCCCCGGCATTTCCACTAGAGCGACAAACAGAAACAAACGAAAACGACAAGCCTCATACACATGAAGCATGCTCGCGTTGGTACCTTTGGCGGTCGTTTAGTCGTTCGGTGCGCATAAAGTAAACACGAGTGGCTGCAAGACTGCCAGAGATATCCTCGTGTGCATGACGCTTCTGTTTGAGCATAGCCTCCTTTATTCTACAATGCCTGTCAAATCGTGAAAGACTCTAGATTGAGGCTTGTCGCTGTCGTTTGTTTCTGTTTGTCGCTCTAGTGGCACTCGGGCATTAGGGAAAGGGGACAAAGGCAGAGCCAGAGGGGGCAATTCAGAAGAGGGAGGGACGAGTGGGAAGGGCGGAGGGCCTCGGGTGGAGCGTTCAGGGGGGTGTCGCGGCGGGCCACGAGAGGGGGGGGGGGGGGGGGGGGGGAGTCGCGGCGGGCCACGCGAGAGCGGGCGGGGGGGGGGGGGGGGGGGGGGGTGTCGCGGCGAGCTTCCGGCCCGGGTGCCGCTGACCCTTGTGACGCCAATGCTTGGGGGTTTAGCTTTGAGGGACTAACGGTAGGGGAGCAAGGCTTCCTCTCGTTACCGTTGCTCCCCTGGAGACCAATGGTTGTGTCAGCGCATTCGCTCCCTTGAAGAAGCAAGTCACGCTCACTTTTTTTACAGTGTAGGTTTATACTGGGGGGCCTTTGTGCGTGCGACGTTGAGTGTTTAAGACAGCTTCACTTGTGATTGCGTTATATGCCAGCGATGTCGGACTACATGTTTGGAGCTTGATGCTTTGTGCGGAGTACATTGTTGCTGCCCGAAGTCTTTCAACGAACGTTCGTCCTGTTGCCGGTTTATATTGTGCAAGCGCCGTGCAAAGGCGTCCTCTACAGGACCTCGCCCCACCTAAACGTCAAGCGGCATTCTTTAAAATTCTCGTTTCCTTTTTTGCCTTTTGTGGCTGGAAGATAATATCTTCATTTGTTTGCTCCGCTCCTGCCCCAATAGAGCAAAAGTGAAGAACGGGGTTGAGTCCACGATACAAATGAGAATTTCTTCCCACAACAAAAAACAAGAAGGAAGCACTATGAAGAAACGCCGCCTCTGTGGGGGCGCCAAGGATAATGTGTGTCGCCTCCACTCCTGTTTTTTGCCGCTTTCGAGCCCGATTCTCTGAGTGACCTCATAACATTTAAAAAATGCTGGGTCTGTGGCACTGCCTTGTGTGTTCCGATTTTTTTGCAGGCTAAACTCTCAAAACAAGCCCTGCACCTGAAGAAACCAGAGGAAAACTGGCATACTCTATAGGCTGGAACCCCGAGAGCTCCTTTTTAAAGTTCAAAGCAGCTTCAAGAGGTGTGCTACGTTTTTTTTTTCTGATATATTTCCTCGTGACACAGTTTCTAGACCCTGCATAATGTTCAAGGCAGATTGGAAGCTCACATTTTGAAAATTTTCTGGTGGATATCTTCGTGTTCTTGAATAAAGTCAATTTTTGGTTGTCCTCCCTTCTTGCATTACCTACAACATGTATAAATCGGCACATACATCTCTCCCTGTGCCACGGATAGTTTAAAGATGCGTCTGTGATTTTTAGGACGGCTGCCTTTAGTGCGCTTTTGTTGATGGCATAACCAGATTAGGTAAATAATTAGAATAGGAAGCCTGTAAGCGAAACTGCCGGCCCTAAATAACTTTCCATGATTTCCGTGATCATGAAGTCTTGGGTGTTTCTTCCTCTGTTGGCTGTTTGGTTTGCATAAGCTACTAGTTTTAATTATTGCTTAATCTGGTTTCTTCACTTTTAATGTGAATTTCCGCGCATTATAAACTCAATTCTATTTAAAACGCACTTTTAACGCATTGATTTTATAAATTACTAACAAGCTTTAAAGGGGCCCTGCAATCATAAATAAGCGTCAACCTTTTTTGCGGTTTCCACGTCTCTTGGGGTTCGGGCAAGCCAGCGGGCACGGAGAGAGTAACAAAATATCAGTGCATCATATTTTAACCGGACGACGCGGAAACCTCCTCCACCGACGGGGGCGACCCGCGGTACCGAAAGCGCGCAAAATGTGACGTCTTTGGTCCTTGGCTTACTACTGGTTAGAGCCGCTCAAAGCTTTTTTTTAGTCGAAATACAAAATGTAAGTGGCGTGAACCGTTTCAATTATTTATAAACGTAGTTTTTGTTCAGTATTTTAGATCAGAAAAGAAAGAAATGCAGTTTATAAAGTACGGAAACAAGAAATGACGCGTCGACGTACCCGCCACCAAGCGGTGGAAAAGGCGGCGTATACTAGAAAAGAGTAGTGGTACCAGGAGCCGACCCGGAAAGGTCCCGGATGTACGCGGCGGCGCTGCGGTCGTTTACGGACTGGAGGATCCGACCGGCTCCGAGCGTTCCGAAGGCCTTCGGCGAGTAGCTTTGTCTTGCGTTTTGGCCATTTCGCGGTACGGCAGCACGAAGTGACTCCCATTCTGAACTGATCTTTACCCCGTGTTTGCTGTCGTTTGTGGCCAATGAAGTGTCATGCCGAATTAGTGTTTAATCGTGCAGCAAATGCAATGAGAGCCGCTCTGGCTGCCCGCTGTATACAGCCTATCCAGAACACGCCTTAGTGGCGCCCTCTCGCGCCGTCGACACGGAGTGCGGCAGCCGTGAGAACTCGCTGAGCTCACTATCCCTTTTCTAGTTCACGGCCACTCAAGCAACCAAGGACGTCATGAGGGAAGTTAATTTTTTGCATGTTTTTGTAATTTTAATTAGGCTATAACTTCTAAAATAAAGCAAAATTCGAGAAAAGAAAAGTTACATTAAGTTACTACGGTCAGTGCGCTAAGGTTTGGTGCAAATTAAAAACCAGTGAAAAAGTGCTTGCAGGGCCCCTTTAAGGAGACTAAAGGTATATTCAGATCGTGCTAACCTTGCGGTTTGAGGCTCTTAAGAAGTATGATAAAAGTGCGCAAGATATAGAGTAAAAGTGCACCTGTAGTATAGTAAGGATAGGCCATTTATAGTTACGAACTATAAGCGGAATGTATCCGTATTCATTTTCGTATTAATATATTAAAATATGTTGTTTTTTGCTAAGGGACTTTGTATGGAAATCTTAATATAATCGGTTTTTTATATATTTATTTATATAAATATTTGAGAATTTGAATAAATTAGTATTATTAATATTATTTCTTTATCTTACGTGGCTTCGTTGAGGCTTAGATTATCGGCATAAAAATATCGCGCCAGGTTTTTAGGAATGCTGGGCTCTTCTCGCAACAAATACCGATAATGATAAATTGGAAATACTCACAATTTGAATAGGTAATGTTTCGTACCAATAATTATTTGTATATGTTATACACTTTTTCTTGTTTTAGCAATAATCCCCTACCCCTGCATGTCAGTCCATCCTCCGCAAGCTCAAATCCCGATTTGCATTTGCAATGGAACGGCATCTGGTCATTGGTCATTGGGGTACATCCCTCAGGACAAATCGGTGAAGTTACGTTTGCCGTACATGCATCTGAAAAAAAAAAGAACAATAAAAATTGAAATACTGGCAAACAGCGGCAGTCGCATCGCTCTGAACGTTCCTTTGAAACAAAAAAAACTCCCTCCTCAATTCTATAAAAAAAAAAAAAGCTTTTTTTTCGGTTTAAGCCCCAGGATACTGGAGATGTCATGTTGCAAAGTGTATTGTGTGACATACCTAAATAAAGAAAAAAACTTTTACAATTTTTTTTCTAATCCGCCCAAAGGCCTCACGAAGACCCTAAATGTAATCGGTTTAATGAGTAGACAATGTGATCCTTACTTTTCCAACTAATTATTTTTTCAGAAGTTACATGAAGAGGTCAACATGGCTGTCTTAAAGTATAATAGTCAAATCTAAGGTGCCAGCCTTAAACAAAACACCAGGACATTCTCTTGACAGTTTTGACGAGGTACTCAGCTTCTTGAAGCTTTCGAATTCGTGGGAGAAATGTTTAAGATACATTGATTGCATACTCAGATCCCTATTTTTCTAGTGTATTACAGAGAACAAGTACTAACACACTGATTTAAAATTTTGCAAATTCCAGCTCAACTTATGGTGTAATTACAGTACACCTTTGCTTCTCATTATACCGGAATCTTCCTACCTTTCCTACCGGAAAAAAAATACGCAGTTTCCGTGGACGTCTACCGGGTACTGCAACAGTATTTATCATGGCACTCATACCTCCTGTAATTTTACATGCATGTTAATTTGCAGTTTAGGTGACTGTCAAGAACGTATAATTGAATGTGGAAAGTAAGTGACCTGCCATGTCTCGACAAATTTCCAAGGAGAAATATAATGCCATAGCAACATCCACCTTATTTTCACGTGATTAAGTAATTAATACAAATTTGAGATTTCAGAGAACCGCATTTTTAATATGCACGTACCTTAAATTCTTATCAAAATTTATAGGCGCGCATAACAAAGTTTTTAAAAAGACGAAACAATTTCAAGCAAAGTAAACGAAGCTTATTTAGCGCCTTCGATTGGGTCAAAAGAAGAAATGGACCGTTTGATTTTAAAAGAATCAAAATGAAAGTTTCCTCTACTTTAATATGGTATGTCCATCTTATATTGAAAAGTTTATATGTTCATCTTTGACACACTAAAAATTAACAAGGAGAGCCTGCATTTTTTTCTGATACAATACTTTCTTAGGAACGTTTACGTGAATTAAACTTTTTTATTAACAGTAATGCTATGAAATAAACAAGTACACCCTAAATGAACTCAAGTATTTTTGTTCGCAGGTAAATTAGTAGTTATTCAAAAGCCGTCGTTGAGACAAATAATTTACTGAAGCAAATGCTTGAAATTTTCGGAATACAAAAACCCTCGCAACAAAGGGTCTTCTGAAAATTTCTACTAGTATGTTTTTTTTTTGTTTTTTTTTTTACTTTTAATCTGCTTATCTTGATTGGTTTCCAGACTTGTTAACCAAACATTCTTTAATGATTTGCAGGCACAAACTGGTTGAGCCAAACTTTTTACAAGAATAAAAAGTTAAAAACTACGGGAAAAGAAAGAAACAATGCCCTGCCGATGTCCATCTTTTTTATATATGTATTTTTGGGACATTATCAGTACCGCTGTAATTTATCTAGTACAAATATTAAGTATCAGACATTTATATACTACAAAATTCTTACCTCGGCATTGGCCACGAAGACGTACATATCCAGTGGGGCAGAACGTTGACGCAATCGGAGGCCCTAAACAAATTATGAATCGTTCGAGCAAGGTTTTTAAAGCTAATTCTTATGGCCGTATCAAACGGTAAATTAATCATAATTGCATTTTTTCTATATCAATAACCAGTATTTTAGATTAAGTCCAATGAAAAAAGGATGCATTATGCATAAGCAAAAAAATATTTTATTATAAATAATTCAGACCTACATGATACAAAGGGCAGCCCAAATATTGGAACTATCGCGGACAATATGAGCTGAAACAGCACTCCGGCCTGTGCACGGTACCACCTGCGCCGCCTGTCGCATCGCTCCCTAAACACGGCGCACCCTGAGGCCGACATAAATTGTCACTTGCGCTCACTGCGCCGCTGCGCTCTTCCGGCCGTCTGCTAGCGAGAATATTGGCCGACGGAACCACCATCACGATGCCTGTGCCGTGTAGCCTAATGTTCACGTTTTCAGCTAACATGCATTTCAGTGCATTTCAAGAAAGCGCCAAAGCGGAAAATGCGATGTCACGCTCGTATCGCCTCGAGGACCGCTGCCTGACGAAGCCGCCTTGGCCCCCAAAATGAGCCGATCTTAATATCATCAAAAACATTTGAAGGCGCATCTAGGTAGCCATGTCACGATGTCCCCCTCCACCACGCCACTGCCTACAAATTGTGGAAAGCAATGAGGTGAATGGGAGAGGCTTCGGGCTGAGCCACACTTCATGGCCACGCTCTATAATTTCTTACCAGACAGGATGGAAACCTTTGTTGCGGATCAGGGGAGAATGACGTGGTAATCAATTATTTTGTAAGTTTTACTGGGGCTCAGGATGCCCTGAATCGGACTTCTGCCGATTGGAACAAAGCTTGATGCTACGGTTGCGACACACTGTTTGACGCCGTTAACCACGCATACTTTTGTGGGGTGCCTCCTTGATCCCGATCTTCTTGTATAGTGTAGTTGAAATTCCACGCCCACTATTAATCTTTCGTGTGTGACATTGCCCTCTGCAAATATTCTTTCGATTAAGTTTCAATCTCCTTCTCCTGGAAAATACATGACTGTTTGTTCCACTTTGTTAATACTAGGAATTTGTAAACAAAAAATGCTGGTGTCTTGTCAGCAACTTGTTTTGTTTGAAACAAACACGTGTGCCCAGTAATAAAGAAATAATACTTTTGACTCTTTTCATACCAATTAAGCTCACAAAACCTACTCAGTAACATGTATACGCTTACCGCTTTTTTGTTTGTTTTTAATTTTAAACATCTGTATCAATGAAAAATAAAACAAGCATACACATTGGAGCCGCATTAAATCCGGCATACAAAGTTTGGCCAATATTTTGCGATGTCCTACATTGTGAATGCACCTATAATCAAACAAAAACAACCTACAACGTCTTTTGATGTGACTTTCAAAAACAATAATCGCAGCTGAAATTTAAGGCACTTCAACATTTTTTCTTCACCAGTCAGCGCTTTTTCTGCGGGATTCTGCGCGATAGAGTAAAGTAAATTAATTCCAAACGAGGGATGACAAGTGTAATATTTTGTTCCCCCCGCCGCCCTACCACACACATGCCCGCTGTCGCACCCTCCGTCTCGCTTGCAGACGGCCGGAAGAGCGCAGTGGCGCAACGAGCGCAAGTGAGAATTTATCTCGTACTCAAGGTGCGGTCAGTGTGCGGAGCAAGGCGACAGGCGGCGCAGGTAGTACCGTGCGGCGGCCGGAGCGCTGTTTCAGCTCATATTGTCCGCGATAGTACTGCGCTAAATTCAAAGTTAAATATATTAATTTCTTCGGTTGAATACATGAAACTCCTCAATAAAGAACCGGATAAATCATCATTCTCACGGTCTGGACGACTGTCTGCTGCAATTCAGACTCTGACACTTAAGTGAATGAAATATTTTGAAAAACCAGAAAATGAACCTCCGTGGGAAGATTAGGACTGTAGCCCTTGATTCCGAGTCTTCAAATGCAGCTTATTTTGTCGTATTTATTAGAAAATACGTTTAGTTTGCTATACACAAGTGGACTTACTACTTACTATCAAAGAACGGGGAGGGTCAGTCGTACCAATAAACAAACCAACCGAAACAAATAAAAATGATTGTTAGAACGAACACAGAACATGCAGGCGAACTTGTGAACTTGATCCTTAAAAACCCTACACTGGACCTGAGTGTGTGCTGCCCACTTTGTGTTCCTAAACCTCCGGTTTTCAAGATCTGGATGATTCTTTAGGTTGAGGCTGGGGAATCATTTCTCATATTACGCGATTCATAGCACGCCGTAAAAATGCATAGTATCGGAGCTCAGGCCACTTTTGAGGCTCAACTTCCGCTCCTTGTTATCCGCTAGTCTACTTCTGTAACAACAGTGATTATATCTCGGCATGCTTCATGGAAACAAACACCCACGGGCATTGAAGAGGTTCAACTGGGCTCCCGTACTGCATAAATTTTTAGATGAATTACGATCTACACCTCGCTATTCGCAAGTGTCTGGCAATCAACAGCAGTTTTTGGATCCCGTGTACTTCACTCGTAATTTTACATTCGGATTTTAAAGAGTAAATAAAACCGTGTAATCGATGTCGAAAGGCAAATAAATAAAGCGATGTAAGTTGCTAAGAACATAAGCCAGTTTTGAGAACCTTGGCTTGACTAGTTCTGTCTTCTGAGAAAGTTGAGAGATGTCTGTGTATTAATCATTATCTTGGTTTCTACCTGTGTGCATGCTTCTCAAAAAACCAGTATCGGACATATAAAACAAGATACATAATTTGGTAAAGAAGATCGTGTTCAGTGAGCTCAGAAACTGGAGCTGATATTAACAGACGTACTTGAACAGTTTGATGCATTCCACCCCTCGCAGCAACGGTCGTCCTTGTACAAGATGTTGTCATTGCATAGATCTTGGCAGGTCTTACTGTAGTTAAGGCAGCCTGTCACTGGAAGAAGCACGTTTATCGAGTACATAAGATAGCATTCGGTTAAATTAATTCTGATGGAATGTCCAGTACTGCTCTATTAATACATTTTCAAGTTTTAAATACATATACTTTTTAATTGTACAGATACCCCGCCTCAATATTTATAGCACTATTTTTGATAAATATCAATATCAAATGCACAGATTAGCTTCCGCTAACAAATCAAGCAAGAAATTTGTTTCCGTGTTTTATAGCCAGGCATTAAAAGACATCGATTTCAAGTAGCTTCTCCTGTAGAGGCTTATGAATAGATCAAGACTTTTGAATGAATATATTACCTTCAATATTAATATACTTATACCATATCACTTAATTTCATTGGGTAGAACTCATTATTTATCACAGGAAAATGAGAGTGTGAGCCGAGATGGATGTACAACTATTTCAACACTTGAACAAATTTTTTTTTCAAGAAATTCAATTAACACTATTTGAATATGTTTGTTACTACGTACGTTCACATTTTCCGTTATGGTATGTCTTGGCTGGCCCGCAATCGCAGTAAACTCTTCCGTTTTGATCAATTCTTGCAATCGCCTGAGCCTCTTCACAACTGAGCTCCTTCTCCTTTTTTACTGAAAAGTGAAAAGTATTAGAAAAAATATTCATGCTGTTAATCGAATTTAGCACTTTCAAGGCAAATGAAACTTATTCTCATAATGTTCTTTTTCCTTAGCCAAATATACATATTTTCACAATATTTTTACAAGCATTTTATTTCAGCTCATTAGGTTTTCTTCAAAGGAGACGAAGGTCACAGAAAAACACTATTATTATTTTTATATTTAGAATGATTCAATTTAATTATTTCCCTGCTAGGTTCAATAAAAGTATTATTCGGAATATTACCCAGATCAGCCCTCAGAATGCAAGTATCATAATGGGTAAACTGAAGTGAAAAGTGTGGGAGTTCCTTTGCTAAAAATGGATTAATATATATTGCTGCGCTTCAACTTGTCTGAGTGGATTCTGTAGTAACGCATTCTCCCTAAATGATGTTAACTGATGCAAGCGTAATTCTTCATATATATATATTTTTTTTTTGAGCCTCTGAAATTTTTTGCCACAGGCATAAGAAAAAGAATTAAGCCATTTGGGAGTTCGGTTCAAATACCTCTTGGTATGCGACTTGTGTTTCGTTTGTTTTGTGTTTCGTTTCGTGTTTCACCCTAATGGCGCATTCACACCGGCGATGTAGGCAGTCGCGTGATGAGACTAGATCGATGGTCACACTGACCTGCGCGATGAGCGAGTCCAACGCCTTCGGTGGCGAGTCGTTTCTCGAAAACTCTCGCTCCGAACGCCGTTGATTGTCTAAGCCGCTCCACGGCTAGATTGCATCGCAAAAAGTCGGGTGAACAGACGACTGCTCAAATCGCGTCGCTTTTTGCCCGCGAGGTCGCTCTTGCGATGAACGTTATCGCGCGACTATATCGCATCGCCGGTGTGAACGCGCCTTTATGCTTCGGGTAATTCGAACACGGGGGAGGATTCCGGGAAACTTGGCAGCGCGCGGGAGAAGAAAGAGTCTACGTTGAGCATTGGAGAGTGCCGTGCGTTACTACACTCCGAGAGGTCTCGCGTAGCTCCTAAGATGTTGCGACTCGGTTTGAACATAATATGTAAATAAACTGCGTATGTATATATCACTTTGTTATCTTCATCCAGGGTGCCTTTATGCTTCTCCACGACCTCCGACGGCCAATGCGCAATCCGGGGTTCCCATCGTCCCATCTGCGGCAACCACCATATCAAGAACTTAACTTTGGCGCTGAGATTTACTGCTTTTGTTATACAGTTTGCTTAACGAACACAAAACGAAGCACTACTTTAGACAAGAAAGTACATTATGTCAAATAATAGTTTATACAGACTATCTAATGCTATGTTTGGATTCTGAACATTATTTTGCGAAACGTATGTTGCAAATGTGCAAACTATCGCGTTCATAATAGACAAAGTTCTATTCTGCTAAAACCTCTTCAACACGACAATTCTCCCTAAACATTTTATTTCATCATGAAAAACAAGAAAACTCTGACAAATTAATAATAAATCGAAATACCCAAACAAGAAGTCTTAACTAAACGACTAACTCTTTCTTGCGTAAGCATCACTCCTCTCAAAATATGCATCATTTATGATTATCTATACAGCAACATCAACAAATCTAACATTGTGGGTGACACACGATAAAGTTTATGTTCGTCTAGCTTAGAGTTGTACTAATATTATTTAGAAAATTAAAATCCAGAGGGTGGCATACAGTTCATTTTACTTGTCGGAAGCGTGTTCACATCCGACAAGCAATTATAACGCGCTCGTTATAATTGCTGACGATATTTAAATCCTGTATAAGCCTTAACCTCCGCAAGCCTAAATGTTTCGTAAATTATGAGAACTGGAAACTTCGCGGCGTTTGAAGGCCTGTGAACAATTCCGTTGTCTAGAGACGAAAATTCCAGGGCATAAAATTTGCGGACTGTTTTGGTTACGGATATGACCCTCTGCCCAATTCTCAAAACGTCGGGGCAACGAAAATAAAGGTTTTACTTTAGTTCCTATTGCAAACGGTGCTATGCTAACCATTACAGTTTCGTTTTTTTTTTTTTTTTGTTTTTTTTTTACTCGTGAATGCGACACTTATACGGTCTGTGCAGGTGAGTTATACGGTCAGGTAAACAAAATATAGAACATAGATTTAAGAAGCAAGTGACCAGGTGTATACTGATCATTTGAACGCAACCAGAGGCGGGGGATACAACAGTTTACATCCTAACAAGAAAAGGGGAACGTCTAATTATTTTTCTTTGTGTCAACGTCTTTTGCTGTCAACTTTCGTTGACACCAAGAGAAGTTCACACCAAGAAAAGGAAGAAGAAAAACTTTCGTATTCCTCAGTCTCGGGTTACTTCAAAATATATAATATTGAGGACTAGGTATCACGCTAAGTCGAGTAAATACCTGAACTTGTTCATTAACGTTTTAATTAGAAAACTAAGCACAATGTTCTACATGAAAACCTCATGAGAGTCAAAGAAGACCACTAACTCAGTCATCTTTATAAAACCTTTGAGCTTGTGGAAATCGCAATTGTGCACTTAAGGTACAACACCTGCAATAGACAGAAGGCTGGCAGTGAGTAAACGGGGATTATAAGAGACGGAAAAACAGCGCAGGTGCGTTATAGCATCGATGGCCTAGCTCCTCCTTCAGGAGTGATAACGTTAGAGCTTCACCGAGCTTCCCACGTGCTCCAAGTGTTGTAGTTTTTTTTCTAAAATTGACTGATCTACTGATTTTTGATGACGCTCAGCTAGTTTGAAACTGTAACCGTATGTTTGTTTTCACTAATTAAAAAGTAGAGTAACATTATTTTGTTAATTAACCAACTTATTATGACTATCGTCCCCTTATGTTATGTCCCCCTGGCAGTGTATCTCAGCTGCGAAACTCACGCTGTGTAGCCTTCACAACTTTTTTTTTAAAGCTGTAAAAAAAAAACTATATTAGGGAAAAGCGATGGCATGCGTGAAATAATTTTTCAAAGTGTTCTGGGGCATTCAAGTAAAAACAAACCGGGTGTTTCGTGCCACAAGAATGAACTAGGCATTGCCAAAAATTCAGACAACTACAGAACATACCACCAGGGTTAGGAATGAAATTATTTTTTTTAAAACGCACTTTTACAAAAGTAAAAATTAAAGAAAAAATATTAGACTGATTTGGACAGTTGATACGTCGAGTGGATATTTGCTTCTGTTACATCTTTAAAATCGCGCACCTATTGTTAGCGCGCAGCTATTTGCCTAGATTTGGCAGCGATTTCAAACAGTATATGGCCGATTTCTCGATCGGGTTAATGTAGTTAACCAACTCTGGCATTTATAATAAGAGGAGCGAAAATGCTGTGAAACGTCTGTTTCGCCCAACATTCCGCCCAACGTCCCTCTAGTTAAGCATGTAACAACTGACGCGCTCGCACGAGCAACCAATTTGTGCAGGAGGTGTTTCCAAGTTGTTGTTTTTACTTTTCGTCCATTTCCTTGGGCGCTGTCATTCCATTCTAAGCTTCCTCCCTTGTTCGACTCGCTTCTTTCCGATCTACGATCTATAAGGCGTGCAAGGCAACCAAAAGGCGTCTATTCGCGCACGAGTAGAGAGCAACCCAAAAAGATAAGGGGTCTCTGTGCGCATCATGCGAGGAGGCGCATGCGTGCGACGAAGGCCCACCCGAACAGACTTCATGCTCTTAGAGGAACAGCCGAAAACTTGTCGACCGTCAGTTTTTCATTTCTTGCTGCTCATCTGCTAGATCTTACGCAACAAAACAACGAGCAGTCGCGATCACGCTTATGGAGTAAACACGACAATCGACTGCTCCTTACTGGCAGCGTCATGAAGCGTTGGCCATGGCAACATCTACGCTTTGTTTATTGGCAAAGGTGCGACATAAGGCGTGCTAGCCGCCACGTCCCTCGTTTTTTGACGCTGCAAGTACTGAGTGGCAGACGATCGGGTATTCGCCTTCTTATGGATCACGATGTTTTGCCTGCTGCTACGAATCGCAGACGACGCCGGAGTTTGGCGGCTCGCCGCCTTAACTCCGCGACATACCCCATGCACGGAGCAGACGAGCTTCAGCCGATGTGTCTGCCAACTATTACCATCTCATCATAGCTCGGCACTGCGATGACATCGTGACCTCCCGGTAAAACGTCGACTAACTTACTTGCCGCACACACTTTTTCCGAGCTAACAACCGAGGTGAAAATTGTTGTGTGACTAGTTTGTGGATAGATGCGCAGCATCTGATATTTCATCCAATACAGATTCTGCGGCATGCTTGAAGGCTAACGTACACTTCGTGCTTTCCAATTTCGCCGGCTTTCTTCTTTCCTCTATCCTCTCGATCTTCTTACCATGCCCCAAACTTGGCTCCCCTCGCAGCTTAGGAGAGCGGAGCGCTAAGAGGATTATCTTCCCTGCAGAAAACCGAAATTGTACGTCGGCCTTTAAAGGTGCCCTGAGGAGGTAACTGAGATCGCCTAATTGTGGTGCTAACTCATTCTGCTGGCTGTAAGCATCCTAGAAATTCCTAGATATAACGATACGCGGTTGATTTCCTTATTTAAAAAAATTAACTATGTTTACAACTCCCTGTAACGCTGAATTAGAGCGCAGCTCTTGAGGAGGAGGAGGGGAGGGTATGGCCTTCCTCCTCCGTACCCTCTCCTTCTCCCCGGCTCCTCCCCTCATCCTCCACTCCTTTCCCCCTCCTCCTGCTCCTCTCTTGATGTATTTCGACCTTGCGATATACCGCGCTAAACAATCTGAGATATACGAATATTTATATATATATATATATAGTGGGCATGGTGGCATAGGAGCCAAGGGGCCGAAGGCGTATATATAACGAAGTGGAGAACTCACGGTGAAAAACAACAAACAGAGGAAGTTTAATCGACAGTTTCGCCGAGAGACTCGGCTTCGTCAGGAGATGACATTCAAGTGCGGGCATATCGCTGCGGCAAAAAAAGTCAGAGCTAAGGGGCGAAAGAAAAAAAAAAAAAAA